TTTGTTTATTGATGTGCCAGTAAATTAACTTGTTCATCTCCAGCTGATCGGCATCAACTGAATGTATGTAGCGGAACACTCACACATGATCTATTTATCCATAACATTATCAAAGGTACTTTCTCTGTGCCAAGATATGAAGAATTGTACGTTTTATGTAACAGTATGCGATGAGCAACTCACGGATGGTTAGTGTCTTATGTAATATTTTTGCAATGTATAGAAGTGTTTGGATATTTGATCGATTGAATTATTCTAATCTTTTGGAATTCCAAAAGCAATGAAATATTTTCAAAACATTTTTTTTTACAGAAATAATTAGATAAATAAATAAATTGATAAAAAAGTAAAACCAAACACTTGATGAATTATCACTTCTAAATAAGTAATGTCTAGTTGGATTAGGTATTAAATGCTAGAACATTGAGAACATTTAGCAAGAAAATAATATGAATGAAATAAAAAGTATAACGATGATCTTGAATGCCCAAGAATACTGTAGATCCAAAAATGTGAGCCATGACTATGTGCGGAAAGAGTGAGATAATTTCAGTAATGATTTACTAGCTCTGGTAATAATTAGGCATCTGCGCTCAAGGCTGTTCTCAGATCAGTTCCCCGAAAATATGTTTATTATATGTTTTATTAGTTCAAACGTTCATTTATAATATAATTATAGGTATGTTACGTTAATGCACTCTATTCCTGATTGCGGTGCATTAACATCAACAAATCGATTTTTATGAGAACATATTTTCGCGCAACGACTGATGAAAAGTGTGCACATGAAATTTAATGCGATGTCTGCAATGATTTGCATTCCGTAACTTCTTATTAAACCACAGGAAGCTGCTCGTACGGTACAAGTACGGATAATCTTGTAGATAAGTCATTCAATTACGTCCATGCACCGTTGCTGTTTGCCTTGTGTATAGCCTTTGAAATAGATACTTTACAACAGGTAACTACGAATTTTGTAATCTATATATTTTCCGTAATGAGATTATAAATTGCGTTTCAATAGATATTTTTTACACCTATACCTAAAACGAAAAACCTTAACAATAATACAAAGAAATATTAATAAAAAATGGAACAGATTTATTTTCATGAGTGAAAAGAGATTACAAATACTAGACAGGTAAGAAATATAATATATATATATATATATATATATATATATATATATATATATATATATATATATATATATATATATATATATATATGTGTATGTATGCAAACACACACCAGTAGGAATATTAGCGAATATTAGCGTCTGTGAAATAGAATCAAATGCCGCCATATAAATACAGGGTATTTTGGACTCTTAAAAGGGGCGAATAGGCTGATTAAGAATCGGCGTAGAATCAACACATTTGATTTACACCACAAACATTTGTCTACACCAAAAGAATGCTTAGTGCGGCTAATAATAATAATCTTCTTCAGGAAACTAAATAATTTCATTGATGGCCATGCATGTGTTTCTTCACTTCCTCAATATCAAAGCTGAGTTCCAAGGTGCATAAGGGCATTTTTGTTGCTTTTCATCCTGTTTGAGTTTCCTAACATTTTGTCTTAAAACACAAGTAGAAAAGGAAAAGAAAACCTATTAAATGCAATACTATTATCGGTAGTTTTAGCTATTACTTTCTTCCTATGTAGATCCCTGTATTAGATCTTTCAATTATTATTGTTGTTGTTATTATTATCATTGTCATTATTATCACTATTAAATATAAAAAAAATATTACTACACGCAAACCAACCATCTAATATTTATACAGCGAATGGCATTAAATATGTATCAAAGAAGCCTTTTTTCGTTAGGATACAGACTAGATTTTTATGCCCCGAAAATCGAAATTCCCCCGCGGCCCTAAGTAAGCCCCGCCACTTTCCAGATCGCCATCAACTTCGCCGGCCCCTGCTTCGGCATCCTGTTCTCGGGGTTCCTGCTCGACCTGGGGACGTCCTCGACCAACGTGGCCTGGATCTTCAACCTGAGGTCGTTCATCGTGAATATCTCGGCCCTGTTCCTCGACCCCCTGGTGGCCGAGTGGGGCTGGAGGAAGGTCGGCTTCGTCTCGAGTCTCCTGCTGTCCCTCGGCTTCGCTGTCTCGAGCTTCGCCAACTCGGCCTTGTATCTGCTCTGCTCGTACTCCATCCTTACAGGTGCAGTGACAGCTCTTTTCCGTTTTTCTGATGTGGTTTTGTTGCATGCGTTTAATTTTCTTAGCAAACATTTCTTTCAACAACCGGCGGGAAAATAGTATAGAGAACTATTAGTAGTATATGTGGCAAATGCTGATCCAAAAGAGAATGGGGTATTGGTACCGTTACAGGAGAATGATGAAAGTAGTATTTTTTACTTTTTAAGTCACACTCTTTAATTTGCTAAATACACAATGTTGTTTTCTATCTTTATGCTAATAATTGACAAAGCTAGTAAGAAAAAAAACTATTTACAGGCATTGGCAGCGGCTGGATGATGGGCACAATCTTCTCAATGATTCCATACTACTTCAAACGCAGACTGGGCATCGCGAATGCCCTCATGCACGGAGGCATCTGCGTGGGGCAGATGGCGGGGCCTCCAATGATCACTTATTTACAAGAACAATATGGCTTTTCCGGAAGCACGCTCATCATGGCAGCCATCTTGTTAAACGGCTGCGTCGGGGCAGCCGTCCTGCACCCTGTGGAGTGGCACATGAAGACCCGAAACAAGGGAAATGCTTACAAACGGAAGACGAAGAAGATAGAAATGGGCACTGACGCCAAGACTCGGCCGTGCGCCACCGTCTCTCGCGTTTTCACCACGATCTTCACCAACCTAAAGCTCCTAAGATCTCCCCGCGTGCTTATCATCACCGTGGCCTCTGCGCTGAACATGACGTCGTACCTGAACTTCCTGATGTTCGCGCCCTTTGCCCTCCAGACGTCCGGGCTCAGCCTGGAGGAGACGTCGTGGTGCATGTCCGTATCCGGGTTCTGCATGCTGGTGGCGCGTCTGGTCGTGTCCTCGCTGACGGACTTGCCCTGGCTCAGTAAACGTGGCTGCTACATGGCCGGCACCGCCACTGTCTTCGTAACTACTGTTGGTAAGTGATACAGAGAATAAATAGACTGAGTTAGCGCGAAGTACGAGTATTTTGAAGAAACAACTCTTTCGGCATTTTGCATTTAGTATAGCTCTATAGGTCTGCGCAGATGCATATCTCCAATTCATTTATATCTGTGCGTGTTTTTTCTAGATCTTCCTTTCTTGGAATCTTAAAGTTCCGTAGCATGTAGCGCTGCATACATTGATTTAGGATTTATAATTGTTTTCCTTTCAACTTCTTGTTCTACTTGGTATTATCATCATCACTACGATTTTAATTAGCGATTAGTATTTGATGGAATAGTTCACAGAACCTTCTTGCTAAATGATATATAAAAAATATTTAAATCAGTTTAGGGCATTAAAGAACTGCCCCAAATTTTCGATGCGTTGATTTTTACTATACAATATATATTTTATATGTAATTTGCCTCTCCTGGATATACTGCATTTTTTTTATTAGCATTCATTTTATTCAAGTATCCACTTCCTCTTCTAATACATAAGGGCAGTCCAAGAAAGGAAAGGCAGAAGACCCATTTCTATTATAATCTGACTTGTAACATTTGAGCAAATGTTTCGAGATAAAACGTTGATATTTAATAATTATAAAGAGTGTTTTTTCGATTTTAGTATTTCAGTTAATTCACAGTTTAAAAACATTTATAAGTCTTCTTTTTCCATCCATGACCTGCATCTCTACTTCCAGCGATATTCCGTTCTTATCAACAAATGGGAACACATTATAAAAACAATATAATTTCACAGACACATTTCATTACTAATACTGATACACAGCAGTTAGTAGTAGAAGAAAAAAAAAACACACGCACAGTAATAATCATTAATTTACCTGTTTTTCTCCAGCGTTCACCTTCGTGAGCGGTCTAACTTGGGCGTCGGTCGTGATCGGCGTGTGGGCGGCCGGCGTGGGCGCCTTCATGAGCTTGCATAACCTCATCATGGTGGAGTATGTAGGCCTAGACAAACTCGTGCCGACGCTGGGTATTTGCGGGATCTTCAGCGGCTTGGCGTCAGTTATCATCGGACCCGTAGTCGGTAGGCCTATGAAGCTCGAGATGCTTTATTTTGATGGACGTGATCAAATATTTCTTATTTGATATTATTTATTGATTCAGGCAGTCACTAATTGCCATAATCTGGATTTTTTTCTAGGATGTGAACAATTCTTTGTTTTATCTACCAGAAACTGTTATGCACGACATGAATTCATAGCTGAACTGTCAAAGCCTCTTAAGATAATAAGAAGAGATTGATAGATTATAGATTAAAAGATAAAGCGGGGTTGACTCAAGCTGTTAATATCTCTGCGTTTTTCGATCTTCCAAGTACTTCGATTTGATGTCAGTAATTCAGTGCCCAATGAATATGCAACTTTGTATTTCTCTAAACGTGGCTGGGATTTTTCTTAAAGCATATGACTCTATTATTGTGGCGATTCTTTCCATTTCCGATAGTCTTTACTCGCAGCTTATTGCTTCAGATTCCTTTCATTCGCTTGTAAAGTGTCAACAATGTTTATTATAATATAGAAGCTAGAACTGAGAATGTACTGTTGTTCTAAGTCACACTACAGGTCACAAGGAGGAGTGTAAAGTGAGGGGAAACACACGATATATATGTAAGCGTAAGTGACCACGCAAGCCACTAGATGTAAGCGTAACAGAGATGGTCTTGGGGCGGCCAATGAAAGGGGTCTTAACTTGCTGGTTTATTTCTGAAGATAGATATGAGACCCCCAAGAGACCCCCGTGTCCCCGGGTGGAGGACGAGGTGGTGGAGCTGGACCCTGTGTCGCTTGGCCTGTCTGCAGTGTCTCTGTCTGTCCCCATAGGCACGTGCCCTTTTATGCGGTGGTTTCCTTGGAGGGCGGATGTTTATTCCTGTGTGAAAAGAGAAAGGAAGGCAACACCTGCGTCCTGCCCAAGGAGAAAGGCATTTGCTTGGACCGAGGTGTGACTCTGCCATCCGGTCTTGCTACGTGTTGTTCACATCGCTCGGCCGCGCGAAAGGCTCGTCCTCGAGCCGTCTGCATCGCTTGAACACTGCAGTAGCAGATAGGAATACAGGTTCTGTTCGGTATCTACAGATGGTTCCTGGTGATCCGATGGTCGCTTGGGTCGTCGCGCGTCAAGGTAGCGGGTGCGGCGGAGGTTTCGCACTGAGGTGCAACATTCAGTAGCGAGGAGGGTCAATCATCTTCAGAAGCTGAAATACAAGTGTACCAGGCCAATAAAAGGGCTAAGGAGGAGGATAATAATGTGTTTGTCAATCACCTTACTAAGTTGCAAGAAAAAAAATGAGGCATAATAAGAATAATTTGTTACGAGAAGGGTAATGTGTCAAGTAAGTGGATGTTAATTACATGGATTTGTTAGGATTAGCGAGTTCTGTAGAGTACCATCATACCGAAGAGAGAAAAAGTAATTGGACAAGAATTCCATATCTTTGGGCTAAATAGGCAAGTATATATGCTTCGAACATATAGGCAGCTGGGCCTGAACTTAATTCTAACAGTGCGCGTCTCGGCGCTTCAATCGTATGAGCGTAAGTGTGCGACGGGCGCAGGATTCCTTCGTTTACGGCCATGAGCCGGGCGTGCGCGTCTGGGGCGCTTCAATCGTATGAGAGTAAATAACATCGCGGTGCGGCGGGCGCAGGATTCATTCGTTTACGGCCTTGAGCCGGGCGTGCGCGTTTCGGGCGCTTCAATCATATGAGCGTAAGTAATATCTCGGTGCGGCGGGCGAAAGGATTCTTTCGTTACGGCCATGAGCCGGGCTTAAAATTAACTTGCGGTGATAATAATTATGTAAGCCTATATGAAGTATGGTGTCCTGTAATGCATTTTCATCGTTATGATCATTTGCAATAGACTACCTACCATCAGTCAGATACAAGTTACATATTCACCAATTCCTTAAACTAAAGAAGCATAAATTCTAGCATAGATGATGATAAGATATCGAACTTCGAGAGGGTGTCATGAAAGCGATTTGGATTTAGTTAAAAGTCTTAGGGATGACACTTAGTAAAATTCATAATCCTAGAATGAATTCCGTGTAGGGTGGGCAGGTAGGTGAGTTTGGACCTAAGGCAGGTAATCGACATGTATCTTAAACTTATGTGTGAAAAAGCGAACGATTAGCGTTGGGGGTATAAGTAAATACAGGTGTTGTGATAGACAGAACGATATACGCACATTCATAGAGGAAGTAGTAACGAATTACTTACTAATAGGGTACAGTATGCAGGTGAAAATAATATCACAACGAAAATCGTAGCAGTAAATATGAATAACATAACGGGGGAAATCGAACATATCTACACATACTTATTTGTTCTAAGAGAAAATAGAATATAATGAACTGCAATGTGAAGACAATAATAATAAACATTAGATAAAATACAATAACAGAAAAATACCATAGCAATTAAAGTATGGTTAGGGAAGGGGAACGAGGTGTGAGGTGTGGTGTGTGTCACTTGGGTTTGATCTCAGTGTGTGACTTCGCTTGTTGTGCTGAAAAAAACAATGGTTGACAGCGAGAGGTTATGTATTATATAGTTAGTAGTTTGTGTTCGTTGAGTGGCATGTACTTGAATTTGAAAGAAGGCAACTTGTATGCAAGGTGTGGGTGGGTATAGGGAGGGCAATAGCTAATCTGGCACTAATAGGTACACTTACTTTTAATAGTAGCTAGGAAGTATTGGTGGTGCTGAGTAGAATGGCGGCTCCATGGTTGTGCTGACGAAGGTTCGCGAAGACTTGGCGAGGTAGATGAGCCGTCAGCGACTTCGTCAGGAGGGTAGCACAGACGTGAGTGGTCAGCACAAAGTAGCAGGGTAGACATGGTGCAAAGAAGATTTGGTAGGGATGGCTGGACGTTAAAGGAGGCGAGGAGGCACTTCGACAGTAGTAGCTTGTAGGCAGATAGCATGGATCGGCGTCGGCGAGGAGGTAAGCGTAAGGCGTTGAGAGGTTCTTGATCACCGCTGCCATCAGATGTAAGCGTAAGGCGTTGTGAGGTTCTTGATCACCGCTGCCATCAGATGTAAGCGTAAGAGAGATGGTCTTGGGGCGGTCAATGAAAGGGGTCTTAACTTGCTGGTTTATTTCTGAAGATAGATATGAGACCCCCAAGAGACCCCCGTGTCCCCGGGTGGAGGACGAGGTGGTGGAGCTGTACCCTGTGTCGCTTGGCCTGTCTGCCGTGTCTCTGTCTGTCCCCATAGGCACGTGCCCTTTTATGCGGTGGTTTCCTTGGAGGGCGGATGTTTATTCCTGTGTGAAAAGAGAAAGGAAGGCAACACCTGCGTCCTGCCCAAGGAGAAAGGCATTTGCTTGGACCGAGGTGTGACTCTGCCATCCGGTCTTGCTACGTGTTTGTTCACAATATATGTGTATATATATAATATATATATATATATATATATATATATATATATATATATATATATATATATATACATATATATATATACACATACATAAGTATACACACACACACACACACACACACACACACACACACACACATACACACACACACACACACATACACACACACAGATATATATATATATATATATATATATATATATATATATATATATATATATATATATATACACCTTTAACCTACCCTTTATATCGGGATAGCGAGAAAGAGGGTTTACATGAGTACTAATTACAAATTAAAAAACAAATGTCTCCCGATCTGACACCCCCCACCTGATTTAACTGACCTGTCCTAACATGACCTGTGTATACATGAATGGTGATGTTGTGTTTGCATTAATCTACTTCAAGCTAGCAATTACTTTGTCACGATCTAGTATACGTATTTAATGTCAGGCAGTTGTTATTTCGTCATTTACTCACTCTTATTCATACCAGAATTCATCGTTCTTTTATTATATAAACATTGGTTAATGAAAATGTTGGTTAATCTTGTCCGGATTATAGTATATAGCTTGAATTAGTTTAATATAGGAAAGTGTTTAGATTTGGACAGTGTCTCTGCCTGTGGTCACTCTCGGTTAAATGGTTTTGTTTACTATATGTTCTATCTATTTAAAGATGTTAGGATAGCAGGAGGGGTTTTACAATGCATACTAATATATTATTTATGTGCGTTAAAGAAATATTGACTATAGTTATTTTATTCATTTATATGTTTCTTGCAATGGGCACCGGTTAATACTCCTGACTTCAAACGTATCGAAACAAATACGGCTTGTTTGCTGATGCATTAGAAATGAAGCATATTTATTATTCGCAAGTGTTTTTTTTATTATTTCAAAAGGAAATCTTGCCCGGATTACTTCCATTAGAAAGTAGTTGTTTGTATGTTTTTTATGTTTTTTTTTTGCTGTGAAGCAGGTTGCATAATTTCGTACGTTTCCATTATGTGGCATTATCTATTCGGATGTGTTATTGCATAGAGAATTTTTAAGTCTGTTGCATTTTCGTTGTATATATGTTTTTGTTCGTACGTGTTCTCGCTATAAAGCACCTCTTTTTCGCATGTGCCTTCGGTACAAAGCACATATCCTCCGTGCATTGACTCCTCATGAGCCACCTTCTCCGCAGGCGTGATCCGCGACGTGAGCCAGAGCTACGCCGTGAGCATGTGGGCGCTGTCGGGCTGCTTCGCCGTCGCCCTCCTGCTGTGGCTCCTCATGCCCGCCGCCGTGGCCTACGACCGGAGGAGAGAAGGGAAGCGGATGGATTCGCCCTCTTAAGGGAAGGAGCTGGAGCCTCTTTACCGCAAATCCTCATTAAACCTTTTCTTGCACCAGGGAGCTGGATCCTCTTTATAAAGGGGTTGGATCCTCTTCAACGCCTTAGGACCGCAAATTCTCAGCCAGTACTTCTTAGCCCATACATATAATGGGTGCGAGAACGAAATCGGGCCGAGGGTCCGACACCGAACGACTTGGATTCGGGTTCAAGCAGCAGGGTCCCGAGTCCCGTCGGTCCAGAGGACTGAAATAGGAAATAAGCTAATGAGATGACTATTGGGAAGAGAATTTCGGTACCAAAGTGATAAATACATGTATTATATAATATTTCTCTTGTATCATTTTATATCATGTGATAAATTATATCATAGTATATATTAGGTTAGGAACCAAATTAATGGCCTTATATAGCGTAAGTAGACCTTACGAAAAGTTGACGAGCATCACTTCGGCTGCAGCGTCCAAGAAATGCATTCCAGCAACGACACCTTTGTCGAGCTTTCCTACGAGCCTTTCCAGTTTCTTGCCGAATAATGTTTCTGATAACCATAGTTAAATTTAAAATCTGTGATGGTGGAAAGGAGGTCGTAGGCTGGCTCTTTGTGCAAGACCTGTTCATGCTGAAGAAGAGGAGCTCAGTTTAATCCTTTTGCTTTTGTTTTGTAAGTTATTAACATATCATGCTTTGAATTTTATTTCATTATAGTATCCACATGTATAGTATCCACATCATTTGAATAAAAATTCTGAATAATACCATGCTTAGAGTATTAACTTGTTGAGGTGGAAACTGGCAAACTCCGAACACAAGACGAATGACTAGCCAAAGACGTGTTTAGATAATAAAGCGTAAATCACTTGTGTGCATTACAAAATACACCGAATATATTGCTTCTTGAGAAAGAGAGAGAGAGAGAGTGAGAGAGAGAGAGAGAGAGAGAGAGAGGGAGGGAGGGAGAGAGAGAGAGAGAGAGAGAGAGAGAGAGAGAGAGAGAGAGGGGGAGGGAGGGAGAGAGAGAGAGAGAGAGAGAGAGAGAGAGAGAGAGAGAGAGAGAGAGAGAGAGGGAGGGAGGGAGAGAGAGAGAGAGAGAGAGAGAGAGAGAGAGAGGGGGAGGGAGGGAG